ATTAGTTAGTTTGTTTTATAAATGAGATAGCGAAATAGTTCTATAAGTTATACTATATTACACATATTAATATTGTTTGAATTGCTGGAGTATACTTTCAACTAAAAGGCTGATTTTCGTGCCCGCTTACTGATTGGCTCTTCAGATAGGTCTTTTAAAATGTGTCTGAGCTGGACAACTGTCTGCTTTTGTAATTGGTCTTCTGTATATGTAGGATGACTAACTTCTGTATTTTCATCCGGGGGTTGCATGTCTTCAGTATTGGTCTCTTTAGTTGGAATTGAAACTCTTGGGTAGTTGTGGACTACAGTGGCTTTCCCACCATCCTCCCAGAATGAAAGGTTTCGTTTAGTGTATTGTCGCTTTTTTCTTTTGTTTTCTGAAAGAACTTCTAGTCGTTTGTCAATGACAATTAGCGATTTGCAGGCATCCCAGCGGTTTATTGATCGAACGCCTATAAATGAAAAATGCCAATGAAGTCCAAAAAAGATATAACTATTGTCTACAAATGTAGTATTCCATGTTTTAAATGTTCTTGGTTGGCACTTTCAAGATGTTTGAAAATTGTAGAACTATTACCTCGGCCTGTAAACTTCTTTTAAGAAGTTTTTAAGTGCTCTTAAAAGAGCTCCAAATCTCTGTAACATCTGTGGCACATGATAAACCATCATATGTATGGCGTAATAGGAAATGACCAGTTGTAGCCCTCACTTTTCAAATTTAGCAGCTGAGAAGCCCAATTCTTTGCCTTTAAATGTAAGACATGAATAAATATATTGTTTTAATTTTTGTTATAATGAAATATATTGTCATTCTAGTCCAATTGTTGAGTTTCAAGAACAATACACACCATTTCATGGAAACCTTTGATGTCATCCTCATGTGGTGAGATGGATGTTAGAACATCATAAATTTTTCCAAAATCCTAAATGTGAAAAAAAAAATGAAAATCCAAGAAAGTGAAGTAAAAATGAAATAACAGTGGTTTGAACAATACAGTTAACAAACAATATAGTTGTATCAATTGATTACAATATTTCCAAACTTATCAAACCTTCCATAGTTTTGTGACTTTCTCGATTTCAGAGGTACGCACAAAGTCTTTGAACTTGGACGGCAGATTCTTTAAGAGCTTTTTTTTATCTCCACCCATTAGTGATGTCCAGTCCAATTTGTTTTCATTGTTAATCCACACTCGGAATCCAACACCACAWGACTGTATTGCAGAAATCAGATCATTAAGATGTTTGGTTTTCTGATGTACTTTAGGAATACCAAAATTATCAGCCTATAAAAGATATGGAATAAGAAGTTTGATTTTTATTCTCTATGATTGATCAAATATGAATTATACATTATAWGGAACACAAATAGTGCATGAGTATGAATGACAAATTACTGAAAACATGGTGTGTACTTAATTCTAATACAAAATACTGAAAAAATATGGTGTGTACTTAGTTCTAATACAAAATATACATTTACATGTGATTTATAAGATTAATTAACCTCATCCCAATCCACAGCATCATAAATTAGCCCATGCTCAAGTCTATCAGTCACTCTCAACATTAAATGAAGTTCATCAAGTACACAGTGGTCCAAGGGAATGTTGAAAAGTGGTTTGTGTCTGCAGCCTGGCTCGGTGTTCCATTTGCTATCCAGAATGCTAACCCTTTTTCTAACATGTTCACAATAGTAGTCTTGTGGTTTGGTCATATCTTGCCTATTGTAAACACAATCAAAGTTTTACTGTCATTAACCACATTATTAACAAAATTGATGTGTRGATATGGTTTCATTGTACYTTTCTAGTTTGTTCACTTTGCAGTAAATACAAGCATGATCTGCAGTTGCATGTTTCATTCCAAGGCACAGCAACAGGAACTGAAATATAACACAYTATATTCTTAACAATCACTCCTTGTAACAATTATTACATTTCAACACACATTACCTTATAATCTCCCCCAAGAAAGAGATCAAGTTTTAATTTTGTGCCATCTACATCTATGTAGCCCTCTCTTTCAAGATCATTGACATCCTTGATCACATTAGACAAAGAGACTTTCAGAGTGTCGTAGTCTTCAGATGTCTGTACTACAGCAATTGTGTGATTTCCTGATTAAAAAAAGTTATGT